TTATAATGTTTAAAAAATCAATAAATAGTATTATTGCATTCCAATTATGTAAAAAAAAAAAAAAAAATGTGTGGAGCAATTAAAAAAAAAAAAAACTCATTATTAAGACTTATTTAAAAAAAAAAAAAAAACGTGCAATTTAATTTTAAGTAAATAAAAAAAAAAAGAATAAAAAAAAAACATTTTAAGAAAAAAAAAATTAATTTTTTTAAATTTTGATGTTTTTTGTGTTGGCTTACATCGCCGCCATCTTTGAGTTTTTTTTTTTTTTGATAAATAATGACCAAATGTTAAAGGACATGTTTTCCTTTAATGTGAATTAAAAAGAAAACATTAAAAAGCTTTTCCAGTCAATGAACTTTAAAAAAGGTTAAAAAAAAATTTTTTTTTTTTTTTTTTTAGGTGATGTAAAAACAAAGTATATCAGAATGTGTTAAATTTTAATTGTAAGGTAATTGTTATTAAAACATTATAAAAAAATTAAACTTTATTTTATTTTCATTTCCCCCCCCCTCCCTTCCCTCTATCCCTCACCGCATTTATAATGATTGTAAAATTATTTAAATGAATTTTTATAAAAAAATTTTAAAGAAAATTTTTTTGTATAAGTACCTGTGAATATTGGATATGAGGTATTTGAAAAATTGACAGTTTAAAATCTTGTTATTGAATGTTATTATTTAATTGATGTATCCATTTTTTTCTTCTCCTTTACTTGTTCCTTAATAATCTGAACTATTCACATTTTAAACAGTTATTTATTTCCATGAATCAAAATTAAATTTTTCATTGAACGACACCATTCATATTATTTTTTAATTATAAAGGCAAAAATTATTAACAATATTGTTTTTAATCCGTAATTATTAGCGAATGGAGTTTTTTATCTTCAAAAATATTTCATTATTAGTCATATTTCCAGATTTATAATTCCGGAAATCCAAAAAATTTTTTTAACATAGCCCGAGGGTAAATTATTCATAAAATTTTTAACGGAAAAAAGTTTTCTGAAAATGAATAATATGTGAGGAATTCAAAGGAAATTCATACACAATTTCTACTTGTTGGTTTTATTTACTCTATGGCAGCGGCAAATTAGCTTGTTTTTGTTATACACCTTCATTGCTTCATTTCGGATAAATACAAATAAAATGTATCATTTTTAAAAGAAATTCGGTTTACAATTAATATTTAAAAGTTTAAATATCATCATCTAACTTAAAAATAATTATTTTCTTAGGTAAATGTCATTTTTTTTATTTTAAAGCTTCTCAAAAACGTATGTTAAAATTGTGGCCTATTTTTTTTTTTTTTTTTTTTGTATTGGATTATAAAGAAATTCAGATTTCTTTATTTTGGGAAATTAATGTTGAAAATTTATTTTTTTATTATTGCAATAGCATATGCCCTTTGGGTAGTGAAATGTCAAATAACACCAAAGATCGAGATCGCTTAATTTGTTGTGAGAGAGATAGTAGTAGTGATACGGAAGATTACGTAGATTCGGATGACAGAAGACGAAGAGTTTTTAAAAACAGGATGAGCTACGGATCATCTGCCACGCCAAAGCCCTGTTTAGTCCAAAGGCAAAATTCTGGTGCACGAAGTGATTCTAAAACAAACGGTAGCAATTCTAAACAATCACTACAAAGTAATTCTCCGAGGTAAATTTATTCATATGGAAAGTTTTTTTCCTTTACACAATAATATGTAATTTTTTACTTTCCTCTTTCTACCTAAACTACTTATTTATTTTTCACATTATTTAATTAATTATTTATAAATAATGTGTTTTAAAACTGAAAATTATGCATTTTTTTTTGTTTTTTTTTTTTTTCAGAAATAGATCTCGAAGTCAACAATCTGTTAGTTCGACTAAAACTCAAATTAGAGAGACACCAGTCATGTCTCAAGGAACTGATGAAAGAATAACTTTAGTAGTTGATAATACAAGATTTGTATTAGACAGATCCCTTTTTACAGCTCATCCGAATACAATGTTAGGACGTATGTTTAGTTCAGGAATAGAATTCACTCACCGTAACGATAGGGGAGAATATGAAGTAGCTGATGGAATATCTGCTACTGTTTTTAGATCTATTTTAGATTTTTATAAAGGTAGAGTTATTAAATGTCCACCTACAGTGTCTGTTCAAGAATTAAGAGAGGCATGTGACTATCTATTAGTACCATTCGATATTAATACAGTACGTTGCCATAACTTAAGTAAGTATTTTTTTTTTCTAATTGTACTATTATTATATGCCACATGAAGAACATTCGAAAAAGACTTTTAAAAATAATATTACAATAATTGTTTTTTTAATTTCAAAGATTGTAAAAATAATTGTTTAGGTTGGTATTGAAATTAATTAAATTTAGGGGGTCTTCTTCACGAGTTGTCAAATGAAGGAGCGAGGCAACAATTCGAAGTGTTCTTAGAAGAACTTATTTTTCCCCTAATGGTTAATTCAGCACAGAGGGGTGATAGAGAATGCCATGTTGTCAATTTACTCGATGATGATGTCGTGGATTGGGATGAAGAGTATCCTCCACAAATGGGAGAAGAATATTCACAGAGTAAGTTTTATCAACATTATTTTATTCTTGTAAAACCGAAAAATAATAATTTAAATTTTTAATCGCTGCATTACATTTACAGCTGTCAACAGCACAGCCATGTATAGGTTTTTTAAATACATTGAAAACAGAGATGTGGCTAAACAAGTAATGAAAGATAGAGGATTAAAAAAAATTCGTCTTGGAATTGAGGGATATCCGACACATAAAGAGAAAGTTAAGAAAAGAGCAGGAGGTAGAGCTGAAGTGATATATAATTATGTTCAACGTCCTTTTATTCACATGTCATGGGAAAAGGAAGAAGCTAAAAGCAGACATGTCGATTTTCAGGTGTGTAAACTCATTTTTATAAAATAAACTCGTGAAGTTTAAGTCAATATTTTAAATAATTAATTTTTTTTCTTCTATTTTTTTTCAGTGCGTTAAATCAAAATCCGTTACAAATTTAGCTGAAGCAACGGCTGATCCCGCTTTAGAATTAGATGCTGGAGGAAATCCTATTAATCAGTCTGCAGGTGAGCCACAAGGTCGGGAAGACCTCAATGCCGGTGGTATAAATAATTTAATTATTAATCCCGATCAGCCACCTCCAGATGATCAACATTAGCAAAGGAGAAGACCCGTTAAATTCTTACGCCGAAAATCTGCATCCTTTTAAAAAAATTCTTTTTTTTTTCTTTTTTTTTTTCTCTCAATTAAAAACATAATAACATTAATAACAACATATTCAATTTAATTTACGTCAAAAAAAAAAGAAATTTTTTATTAAAATTTTTTCGTTATTATAAAATCTTTAAAATAAAAAAAAACGAAACAAAAAAAAGAAAAAAATTTTTTTTAAGTTGATTTTTAAACTAAAAAAAAAAGATTTTTTAAGATTTTAAGGGGTCTCTGAATTAATTTCTTTTTATAAAATAAATAAATAAATTTACTTTGATATATATTAAATCATAAATAATTTAATTAATAAAGTTATCGCTTAATAATAATAATATTTTTGTTAAAATAAAAGAAAAATTTTTTTAAATTTTCTAATCAGTTTTTTTTTTAATATAAAAAGACGAGTATAATTTTTTTTTTAAAGCTTTTTCAAAATATTTGTGGCACAAAAATAAAATAAAATTTTTTTCGAATAATATTAAGGTATACACAAGTTGTTGTCTCCCCAATTAAAAAAAAAATTTTATTAAAGTTTATTAGTTTATTTTCTTGTAATACTTTCAAAAAAAAGAAGTAACATATAAATTGTAATTGCTTTTGCAATGATTAAATTCTAATTTTTTTATACATTTGTTTTGTATATAAGTTTCATCGAGTTGACATTTAACGTTAACATCACATTTTATATAAAATTAATAAAATTATTGGGTGATAATAAAAAATAAGAATTTACATAATCGAATTGTTTTATATATTTATATATATATATATATATATATATATAAAGAAGATTGACTTAAAAAATAAAATATCTGATAATAAATAAGTTTTTGCTACTACAATTGTTAAATTTTTTTTTTTTTTTTACATGTTTTCATGTAAAGGCCTTAGTAGTTAAAACATATTTAAGTCAAACAACAATTGTTGTTTATAATTTTGTATTTTTTTTTGTTTAAACAGCTTAAAATTTTCATTTATATTAATTATGTATAAAAAATATATTATAACAATGTTTTATAATGTTTCACAATGATAAAAAATGTTTTATTTTAAACAATTATATATATATGTATATATATTTAAAAATAAGAAAAATTTAAATGTTTGTTTACTTTATAATATATTTATATATATATTAATTAAATGCATAATTTAATATATATGTAAGTTTAAAATTTTTACATGAATTTCTTTTTTTTTTTTAAACTGATCATGTAATAATTTCTATTAACTTTCACATTTTTTAATGGGATTTAATGGATTTTGGTTTTTCGAATACAATTCCTTATCCCTTGTAAGTTGTGCAAATATTTTTATATTAACCAGAAAAACGAATTTCGGGATAAAGTTTTATCAATCACAAAATAAATTATTATTAATTTTGTTTTTATACACAACTTTGAGTTTTTTTAACATTATCTTATTTAAGAAAAAATGTCAATAAATGTCAAAAATTTGATATTCGAATTCAAGTTTGATTAAAAATTATATTAATCCCGATAAAATTTCACTTTTGTATTACTTAAAAAAATTTAAGTTAAAAATTGTTAAGAAATAATTTATTTTGACATTTCTTAAAAGCCAATATTAATGACAGTTATGTTTATTTGTTATTCAATTTCCCGCGCATTTTTTCCTTTGAAAAAAAAAAAAAAAAAAAAAAAAGTTTAATTTCAGGTTTGCGTAATTAAAATTTTTTTAAGTTGGCAGAACCTAATGTCTGGAAGCTTTAAATTCTCATGGCGGTACTCCGGTTGTTGTGGATGTTATTATGCAGATCTTCATTCTCATTTATTTACGACCAGGACAATGTATTTTATTTGTAAAATTTTACGTATCACAATACAGAGTAATTTTTTTTTAATATTTGGGGTTTTTTAGGCGTAGGTTTAAGTTCTCTTATATCTCAATTAATTCAAAATAGTTGTTTTTTTTCAAATCAATCGGATTATTCTGCGAATTTAGTGGAAACTAGTGTTTTTGAAGATGATTTTGAACCGGTGATTAATTTAGCTGGTAAGCCACAAAAAGCTCAAAAAACTCCTCAGGAATTTATTCGTCCGAGGTATTATAGAACAGAATTAGGAATTAGGGATAAACTATTGACGGCCGTTTTAACCTCGTCAAATACCATTTCGGATTATGGTACAACTTTTAATAAAACTACCAATCACTTATTTGACAAAACAGTATTTTTTATGCAATCAAATGGGAAAAAATTAACAAACGATAATAAATTAAATGGAATCGTACAATTTTCTGATTCAAGATCAATTTTAAAACCTTTTCATTTATTAAAATATTTGGCTGACAATTTTTTAGATGATTACGATTATTTTTTTATTGTGCGGGACACAACTTATGTTCGTGGTCGGTTGCTTAATTTTATTATTAATAAGCTCAGTGTTAGTGTTGACGTTTATGTTGGGGGAAAAAAAGAGGATAATTCTGCCAATTATTGTTTAATAGGCAAGTATTCCTGTGTTTATATTAATTGTCTATGTTTCACTGTCATTTTTACACTTTTGCCTTTTTTTTTTAAATCTTTTATTAAAAAGTTCATTATTATCTTCATATTTTCATATTTAATTTCATTATGAATAAAATATTTTTTATAATAAATTATTTTAAAAATATCTTTCTTTCATTGGTTTTAGATTCAGGCATAATTATATCAAATTTAATACTAAGAAAAATATCACTAAGTTTAGATTGGTGCGTCAAAAATATTTTTTCCGATTCTGATGATGCCAATCTGGGAAGATGTATTTTTCATTCCACTGGTATACCATGTAGTACTGATATAAAAAATCTTAAAATATCATCCTATTACTTTAAAGTAAATGATGAAATTAATATTGAAAAATTATCAAATGATGATGATGATTTCAATAATGCTTTATCTTTTTGGCCTATGCCTAGTCCTGCTGTGATGTTATTATTTCATATTTATTTTACAAAGGTTTGTTATAATCGTTTTCAAAATGTCTTTTCTTTTCAAATAAAATTATTATTACTCAAAAAAAAAAACAAATTTCTCAGAAAGAAATATTTAAGAAAAAATTAGAAATCTCAGAAATTCAAGAAAGAATACTCAATGAACCTGTTCTTCTACCTGATAATTCCACCATGGAAATTGTGTGGCCGATTGGAAGTCCATCATCTGTAAAACCTTTAAATAGATTTGATGTTTTAAGGTGGGATTATTTTACTCAAGATAAAATATATTTAAAGTCTGATTTTAACAATGTTGAAGATTTAATTGGAGCTGATTTATTGGATATAAAGGTGAACTAATTTATTTAAAAAATTATAAACTCATGCACGTGATTTTAATAAATTTTACATAACTTGACCTTTAGTAAACCTTTTCCAGAGTTCTCCAAGATGACCTTAACCTTTTACTCCTAATATGAATTTTTTAAATAACCCAACAATTAAAACACAATATGTGTTGTTGTATAAATTTCTAGCATGTTATAAATGCTTCAATTAATTTTGTTAAACAAGAATATAAGGGACAGTTGCAATATTTAGAATTAGTTAACGGGTATAGAAGATTTGATTCGACAAGAGGAATGGATTATATTTTAGATCTTAATTTTAAAGATTGGAAAAGTCAAGAATTGGTTCGCCGAAGGTAAATCTCTAAAAAAAATTTTTCCCTTTGTTTGAATTGTTGTATCTCATTTCAAAAATTTTCATATTTTTCGTTTAGACTTGAAATATGTAAAAGACTGGGCCCAGTTGAATTAGTACCGGTGCCGTACGTTACTGAAAATACAAGAGTCAACATGATATTAGCCGTTGGAGAAGGGAACAAGGAAGAAGTATTAAAATTTATGGAAAATTATGTGTCAGTGTGCAT